TGTTTCTATATTCAATTTATTTCTTATTTCTAAATACAATTTATTACTTATTTCTAAATACAATTTATTTCTAAATGCAATTTACTTCTTATTTATAAATACGATGTATTTCTTATTTATAAATACAATTTACTTCTTATTTATAAATACGATGTATTTCTTATTTATAAATACAATTTACTTCTTATTTATATATACAATTTATTTCTGGTTTATAAATGCAATTTATTTCTCATTTATAAATACAATTTATTTCTTACTTATAGGTACAATTTATTTCTGATTTATAAATGCAATTTATTTCTCATTTATAAATACAATTTATTTCTTACTTATAGGTACAATTTATTTCTGATTTATAAATGCAATTTATTTCTCATTTATAAATACAATTTATTTCTTACTTATAGGTACAATTTATTTCAGATTTATAAATGCAATTTATTTCCTCTTTATATATACAATTTATTTCTGATTTATAAATGCAATCTATTTCCGATTAATATATACAATATCAACTATAATTTAATTGCTTATTTATTATTAGACTGCAGATTTTATCCATTTATAGCAAAATGGATTAGCTGCAATTCGAAATAGTACAAATATTTAACAACTTTGGTAATGTCAGTGAATCATAGTTAGCCTATTAGGATTATAAAGAAAGGAAGACAGAACGTTCTATTTATTTCCAATTTCTTGCAATTAATGCAGACAATCTTTCTTTACCATAAAAATCCGCATTCTATTTATAATTTATTGATCGTGCGATCGGCATCGGAGCACCTTGAAATAGCAATTCCTTTCTGTTATTGGAAATGCAATTCCAGACGGAGAGAATCGGCGCGAATGTTTCTCAGTATCCGCGATAGAAAGCAGGAACCGTATCGTGCGAGTGATTACTTTCACTGGGATCGCTGGAAAAACGTGGAAAATCGTCTGTTTTTTTTTCGTCGAAGGAATTAGGACACGCCATCCAGCCGTACCCTCGAGCGAGGTTCTATCATCCAAGGGTTTTATTCGAGCCCACTAAAAACTTCATAAACTCTGACCTCGCGTAGCCGTCGGCCATTACGGCATCGCGAACAGTACACCTGTAAGTACACACCGCGACAAAACTATGAGACGCTCCTGAATTTCTAGTGTTTCTTAACGCCGAATCTATCACGTTCAAATGATCGGTTTCTTGTTTGAAAAATTATAAGAACAATTGAGACATTTTTGTGAATAGTGATTGCATAAATTACATTATTGTATATAATATAATATTATAATATATACAGTGTAATAATATATATTATATATGTGAAATTAATATTATAATTATTATATTAAAATATTATATATAATTATTATATTATTATTATTAATTATTATATAATTATTAGATTATAGTATTGTATTATAATATTATCTAAATATGTATATATATATAATATTATAGTATAACATTATAATATAACAATTATAATATAACTTTCATAAATTATAAAAGAAACGTTTTTTATATTGTATCATTATTCTTCAAATTAATTGTTACTGAATTAATTCCTTTACGAATAAATACTTATTCGAATAATAATGCTAGACTTATCATTCTTAAATTCTTATCTAAATAAATTGTTATTCGATTAAACATTCAACGACGCCGTGTAAAATTATATCCGTTAGAAAAAAACTCGTTAAACAAAATTACGAGCAGTCTCAATTAGGAAGAGTTTTCAATCGAATAACTTTACATACTTTACGTTAAAGTTGTGCAGTCATCTAAATACTTCGGTACAATCATGATCGCGCCCGGACACTTTCGAGCGTTGCTGTACGCGGTAATAATCGACTTATCATCCGAGTTCAAGGTGCAGCACTTAAAGCCAGTCATTGATTTCCTATACGAGTTAACAGTAATCCCATTTTTTCAGTTCTCGGACGCGCCGCCATGTTGGATCTCATCCGGCACATTCGGTACACAAATAGCCACGTTGGACACTGTTGGCCCCGTGTTAATTACTCATTCCAGACTATGTTACCAACACGGTAACCGATAGAACATTACGGAAACTTGTTCTTTGATGCTGGAACCGATGTCCAAACCTGTTCTCGACTACTCGGTACGATCCTCTAGCCGGTCGACCTCCGTCGTTGAACCCTGGCCACCCAAATCTTGGCCTATGTTATCGTCAAACTCATTTCCATCTGTCCAGCTCAATATTTTTAACTAATAATTAAGCTTAGATTTTTATGCTAGATTTCAAATCTGAGGAGTTAAAAAAATAATAAAAATAAATATTTGTTTAATTCTTCTGGTTGTGGCGATAAAGTCAGGTTTGCTGAAGATTCTCTGCAAAGGATTTAGCAGAATAAGCAGTAATAATTAATAATAATAATAATTAATTAATTTTCTCCCCCAGGTAGCAGTCTCTACTATTGGGGTGGTTTTTCAGGGTTGAACGCGATGACATGCGGATATAGCTTTATTTTTTCCGCTCTATTCAAAAGAAAATTATGAAAAAATTCGCGGGGATTCTACCCCCTTGGTTACACATCGGAGAATTTTTTCAGATTTTTCGATTGTAAAACCGATTTCTAGAAAATCAAAAATATTTCAATCATTACATCGAGATCGTAAAGTGACCATATTTCTACAGCTCCGTCTTTTGTTATAGTTAAAAGTACTAAACAAATTTTGCGGTCGGATTTAAAATCGTGTAAAAATCTCCGAGAATTGAACGTCCTGAAAAAAACTCTGACTGAACTATGGTATTCGATTAACCACAATTCGTAGTCTTCCAAGTTTAACACAAATTTTAGAAGTTATCTATATCTGATTTCTGGGAAAAGTTCTTCGATTTTGACTCGACTTGGTCATTCCACCCCACTGCGCGTCGCGACAGTGGCGCGAAGAAGGACGACGAGGGGCCCGGCGATGGAGCGGCGGGACCGGTGGAGGGGGGAGAGCTGCATCGCTGGAATAACAGTACTCTCACATTGGTGAGCGCCGTCGAAGCGCTGTACCGTTATCGGTTACGGCGTTACCACGCCGAAGGACCAGCAGCGACGGAAACCCGAGGGGCCCGGGCTGCAGCTCTTCATCTTCCCCCTCCTCTTGGTCTCCTGCCGGCCGACGGTCCCCCTCTGCTTCCTTGACCCCGAGCGTCCTTTCCCGGCCAGCGTAAAAATGTTGGTCACCCGGCGCGCCGATAACTGTAACAAATAGTGGCCACCAGGATCCACCAGGTGGGCCGGCGAGCGTCCCGTCGGGCCCCCGTCGGGCCCCTTCGGGCCCCTTCGGAAGAAAAGTCGCCGGCTGATTTTCCACCGTGAGCAGTATTTTCATTGCGGCGAGTAGAAATCGGAGGTAAACCGGACGGAAAGTTCAATTAGTCTACACGCGAGTGAAAATTCGAGATTTTCTTTTTTTCTTTCAATTAAGATGCAAATGTCCGCTCTTTCACGTGCCAGCCGCCTCAATTCCGTGGCGGTCCAATCGCTTTTGGCCGGCCACGATCGTATATAGCAATTAGCGTGTAGTTCGCGACCTACTTTCGTGCCGGTGAATTTCTTCGGGTTACTAAAGCAGTAGCAGAACAGAGACAGTAGTCGTAGCACAATAGCAAAGTGCAGGAAATTTGAAAGCTCTGTCAGGAGACGATTTTTCAGACAATATTTCGATCTTCTATGTTTAATAACGATCATAATTATATAAATTAGTTAAATCATATAGATTTTATTCATTTATGGCAAAAATGATCAAATACTAAAGCGTGATGGCATTAGAAGAATTTAACGATATTTTTGCAGTGTTTTCAAATTATTAGAATTGTTAATTGTCATTATTATTAACTTAGACAGCTTTTATTTTGCACAAAGATCTGTAGACTAAGTTACAATTAGATATTATTAAATAATAATATTAAAGTAAATAATATTAAATAATAAAATGTTATTTTCATAATAGACTCTTGATGGTTGAAAACAGTATTAATGTTATAACATTGTAACATATAATAATGTGATGAGTAAATTTAATATCGTACAACTTAGACAAAGAAAAATGATCAACAATTTTTGTCTGCTACATAGAATTATACATGGCGAAACAGATCTTCTTCTAGTGTTACCGAATTGAATTAATTTTAACAATCCGCTTTTTTGAAAACCCACCGAGTTTATGTGCCCCATTACTATGCTGCCGATCTTTATGCATTTTTAACAAAAATGGAGCGACGAAATTGCGGCGTAGTGGAAACATCAGATGAATTTAGCAACATTGCATGCATTGTTCCCAACGTTTTAGAATTATTAAAAGAAAAAGAAAATTTTCATTTAACTCTTGTTTCTTAAAAGTTGATGCAGGCAGTTCTTATTTTGCATAAAGATATACTAAAGATCTACTCATCACTATATCTCTCGTTTTCTCTTTAATGATCCTTTGAAAAGAATTCTCAATTTCGCTCAATATCTTTCGAATAATATTTCGAATATATCTGTCGAATAATATCTCGAATAACATTTTCGAATACATCTCTCGAATAACATTTCGAATATATTTTTCGAATAATGTTTCGAATAATATTTCGAATAACATTTTCGAATACATCTGTCGAATAACATTTCGAATATATTTTTCGAATTATGTTTCGAATATATCTATCGAATAATGTTTCGAATATATCTTCCGAATAACATTTCAAATAATATTTCGTACATATTTTTCGAATAATAATTAATATTTCGAATACATCTTTCGAATAATATTTCGAATAAATACTACGAATAATATTTCGAATAAATACGAATAAAATTCTACTGGTTATTCATTATCCGAATAAAATATGCTCCACCCCATCGCCAGCGCAATAGGAATCAATAAACGTTGTTGTACCAGGAAAGCAGAGAAATTGAAATTTACCAGAAAGTACCGCTTCTCGGACCGCCGTGACCCGTCATCGCGATGGTGCGAACTTCTTCGCGAGATGAGATGCGCTAATGACACAGTGTATCATTCCCGGTGATCGAAGTCGATTAATCATCAGCCGGCGGCTGCGGATGTCACCGCCGCGCGCGAGATGTCTGGACGTCGTCCTCTGGACTCCGTTCCGGGAGCCAGCCAACGAGAGAGCCCGAGCAGAGAGGCTCTCTCCGTCGATCCTCATCCTCCACCTCCTCCTCCGCCTCCTTCTCCTCTTCGTTCCACCGTGGAGGAGCCGACTGACTGGCTAGAGAAGCCGAGTCTCTCCTGCGGAACATCCCCGGCAGTTTCACGTCGACGGTCATCCGGATCGACTCGCGGCCAAGGTCGACCATCAACGGCAACGTTTTCTCGCGGCGTTTCTCTCGCTCGATCCTCCGTCGATCCATCGTCGATCCGTTTGAAGAACCCAGTCCGAATCGATCGAACGATCAACCCGAACGATGCTCCAATCTCCGCGGACAAGGATCCAGCGGACTCGTTGACGGCCGATCGAAGGATCCAAAGGATGATCGACGGGCCCGGCATAGGACCCGCCGGCGGTTTGTGATGTGTCAGTGCTCTTTGTTCGCTGTTGTTCTCTCGGGAATGCTGCGCCCGGACGACGAGCAGTCGCGGTTTGCTGAGTGGTCCAAGGAGGACTCGGCGAAGTAAGTGATTCTGGGAGCCGCGTCGGCGTGCAGGGGTGGTTTCCGGGCCCGCGATGTGGGTGCGCGTCGCGCGATCGGAACCCGGTAATTCGATTCGGCGAGGCGCTGCGATTTCTACTCGAAGAAATGGCCCGTTTGCGCCTCGAGGAGAAAACCATCGCGACACCATTAACGGTTCGTGACAGGTTCGCCGAGACGCATTGTGCGTACAGAAGAGGCGAGAACGATCCGAATCGCGGATCTTCTTTTTAGAAGATCAGTGCAAAAGTGGGAAAGGCTCTCGGGACCGACACGATTTTCACCAGACATCCAGCGGCACGGTGTTCCTTTTTTTCACCGACTTCCGTTCGTTCGTCCATCAAGTCCGATGGCAAACGAGCCGTGAACTTGGTAATTGCGAGCTGAACGATCCGCGATGTCCTCGGTGCAACACGTGACACTGTGCGGCTGCTTTTGTGATACGTTCGCGGAGAATGGATTCGCAATTCTTTGTTGATCGACGAGGCTTTTTTTGTATTGGAAAACTTCGGAACGTCGCCGTTTCGATTTGATATGAACCAAAAAGGTTTCGTAACGAGGAGCGAAAAATATCGGTTTAAAAGAACAGAAGCCGATGTAACCCAGAATCGATGCACCTCGTAACAGTTATGAGATTTTTTAGGTTCTTCTTGACTAGGATAACGCGTTCCGGTATTATATCATCGGTCATTTTTTGACTCTGAGCTTCGCTATGCATTTCGATGTAATTTTTCCCTAATTCGCGTTCAGATTGCGCACAAAAATAAGCAATTTGGGAAGAAAAAATAACATTGTTTGGGCCTTGCGGCTCGTTTTTATAGTTACCGATTGTGAACAACTCTAAAAGCGAGCGCGAGGCTCGAATAATCGTATCTCAATTAATTAAACAAATCATATCAAAATCATATCAATTCGTATCGAATTACTGTAATTATATTTTTATACTGTATTTTTTATAGTGTATTTTCACGACGTGTTAAAAACTTTGTGTACACGTAGAGAGCACATGCATGAATGTATCACGTAATTTCCTTCCTTGCGTAAATTCACTTCAAAGGGTTAAATTAACCCTTTTTTGTCCAAATCTATCATCTGCTATACGCTTCGTTAATTGTTTAAACAATTGAAAAAATGTATAAACAAATAATCGACATTCTTGTTGACTTTTTTTAATTAGATTTGGAGAAGAAAAGTAACCTTCGTTCGATCACTTTTTATCCATCTTGAACAGATTCCGAAACGTTGTAACATTTATTGTTACAGTTTGTAACGTTGTAACTAGACCGCGGATTTTATGCGAATACATAAGAATTGAATAATATATTTACACATTAAAGTGATCGAAACAATCAGTTTATTTTTATTCGACATCTGTTTCTCGCAATCGTCCAGAAAAAAATGTTTACGTCGCACAAAATTGCCCGCGGTCCACTTAGAACAGTTACGAGACATTTTTGGCCCTCCATAACTGTGTCAAGAACCGAACCAACATCATAACTGTTCTTAATCGCGCCTCGGTTTCGTTCCGATGTCGAAACTTTACTCGCCGGCGGATCGTATCGAGATTAATTCGCGAGCATTCGGTCGCCGCAATTAGCGCGGCTCGTAATCGGCCGCTTTTGGGCCCTCGGTTTCGTCACGAGCCGGTCCCTCGAACGGAACAGAGGCCCGTTTGGGCTCGTTCGGGCCCGTTCGGGCCGGTTTGGGACCGTTCGCGCCGCGTCGTCGTGTCCTTTTTATTCTCCCTCGATCACGAGGGCCCGCTGGCCAAGTAACCCCGTATCATAATTTATCGGCGAGCGCCCAAAGTGGATAAATATCCTCGCACTCGACTTTCTCTTCGAGTGCCTTTTACATTTTTCGTCGCGAACGCGCCGCGTATCGCCGGCTTAAAAGCTCCGCGGCGTCTCCCGAGGATTTTAAACGATTTTCAGGACGTCGGCCCGAAATTTGCTACTTTCTCGACGCGCTGCAATTATCGTAATACAGTCGTTTCTCCCCAATTCGCGCTCAGATCGCGGACAGTTTGAGAAGCGGAGATTCGATTATTCCAGCCTCGCGGCTCGTTTTTATGGTTGTTGACAATCGGTGACTATAAAAACGAGCCGCGGAGCTCGAATAATCGTATCTCCTCTTCCCCCCTCTTCCCCTTTTATTACAAGCTGAAGGAAAATTGGCGAGAATTTACTGTAATTAAATTAAATACANGTAACATTTATTGTTACAGTTTGTAACGTTGTAACTAGACCGCGGATTTTATGCGAATACATAAGAATTGAATAATATATTTACACATTAAAGTGATCGAAACAATCAGTTTATTTTTATTCGACATCTGTTTCTCGCAATCGTCCAGAAAAAAATGTTTACGTCGCACAAAATTGCCCGCGGTCCACTTAGAACAGTTACGAGACATTTTTGGCCCTCCATAACTGTGTCAAGAACCGAACCAACATCATAACTGTTCTTAATCGCGCCTCGGTTTCGTTCCGATGTCGAAACTTTACTCGCCGGCGGATCGTATCGAGATTAATTCGCGAGCATTCGGTCGCCGCAATTAGCGCGGCTCGTAATCGGCCGCTTTTGGGCCCTCGGTTTCGTCACGAGCCGGTCCCTCGAACGGAACAGAGGCCCGTTTGGGCTCGTTCGGGCCCGTTCGGGCCGGTTTGGGACCGTTCGCGCCGCGTCGTCGTGTCCTTTTTATTCTCCCTCGATCACGAGGGCCCGCTGGCCAAGTAACCCCGTATCATAATTTATCGGCGAGCGCCCAAAGTGGATAAATATCCTCGCACTCGACTTTCTCTTCGAGTGCCTTTTACATTTTTCGTCGCGAACGCGCCGCGTATCGCCGGCTTAAAAGCTCCGCGGCGTCTCCCGAGGATTTTAAACGATTTTCAGGACGTCGGCCCGAAATTTGCTACTTTCTCGACGCGCTGCAATTATCGTAATACAGTCGTTTCTCCCCAATTCGCGCTCAGATCGCGGACAGTTTGAGAAGCGGAGATTCGATTATTCCAGCCTCGCGGCTCGTTTTTATGGTTGTTGACAATCGGTGACTATAAAAACGAGCCGCGGAGCTCGAATAATCGTATCTCCTCTTCCCCCCTCTTCCCCTTTTATTACAAGCTGAAGGAAAATTGGCGAGAATTTACTGTAATTAAATTAAATACATATAAAATATAATAAAATATATATAACAAAATATAATAAAATATAATAAAATATAACAAAATATAATAAAATTAAATATATATGTATTTGCCGCGGAATCGGATCGACTGCGAGGAACTCGGCCGCCATATTGTTTTCGGCAGACGTCGACGGTTTTCGGAGAGGCGACCGGTCGGTCCCGGTTAACTGTAAAACGTTTGGAGAAGGAATTCGAGCGGAGATTAGAAACGAAAACGACGGGGACCGTGCCGCGGCCTTGCCGAGGACCGTTAACACGATCAAACGGCCGTGTTAACCAATAGCATTACACGCGGGACAACAATGTTCCTGATGGTTGTCCACCGTGATCAACGCTTCGCCTGCTTATGGTAAACCGTGCAGCCTCGTAGAACCATTAAGGGAGCCGTGTTCTCCGGTCTCGAATGTCGATTAGTCCACGGAGGACACGCTAAGGAACATCCAGTTGCTAGTTCTGACATTTAAAAAATTTCTTTCTGACATTCGAACACGTTTTAGAATGCGATGTCTCTTTTTTTAAATGGACCGAACGACTTGAATTTGAAGAAGAAGGATGATTTCGATCGGACGATCCTGATCGAACGAAAAGAATTTCATCGGGATCGATTCGATCTGGTCAACGTTCTCAAAAGTTTGTCCTTAATCCCCGCGTGCTGCGAGCTAGAAATCGTAGACACGCGGTGCCTGATACTCGCTCGTGCAGAATTATCGCGTGCATACCATCGACCGCCGCTCGATTTTCACCGGCGATGCGTGTTCCTCGAACACGAGGCCCGCGCACTCCATTACCCGATGTTTATGGCGAAAAATGTTTTCGCGGAGCGTGCCGAGCATGAACGCCGCCTCCGTTTTACGTTTCTGGTTGCAGCCGTGCATCCGATTTCTCTGCGTCCGAAGTACGTTTCCGCGTAGATGCATCCCCCTGGCGCAAAAGTGCAGTAAATTCTTCCTAATTGACGCACAGATTGCGCACAGAAATGCACCATTTGGGAAGAGGTGGCTCGAATAATCATACCATAATAATTAATTAAAAATAATAATAATTGTACTGATTAATTAAATAATAAGCGTGAGATAGAGACAACTTTTAATAGAATTACATAAAGAATCCTTTGAGGTCTATTAAAGAATTAATGATCATTAATTGTCTCGTACAATCGGCGATGGACGATTAATTTCAACAACAGCAATATTCGATCGTCAGTTTTTGATTAACTTATTACATTTAACTCAATTTATTACTATATTAAGATCAATATAATAATATCTTTTATATTAAGATCAATATAAAATCGTTCACATTGCAATTAATGTCTTGGATTAAATTCACCCTCGAGTGACAAAAATATAATAAAATAGTAGCACAAGTTGAATCGTAAACGTCATAAAGACAGAATTACAGACAGAATTGGATTAAAAGATCTTTGGAATTCCTTTAAAAAAGTCCATCGAATTCCGTGAAAAAATCTTTCGACTTCCATTAAAACATCGACAATTAGTAATTGCCTCTTCGAAACGACTATTAGCGATTAATTTGACCAGTAAGTTTCCCTAATATTCCTTCAGCTTGTGAACAAAAATGTACAATTTGCGAAAAGGTCGATTATTCAAGCCTTGCACCTCGTTTCTATAATTCTTGGCAATCAGCAATTAATAAAAATGAGTCGCGAGGCTCGAATAATCGTATCTCCCCATCCCAAATTGTCCTTAATCCCTTATTATCAATTGTCCTTAATTTCGTATTACAAGCTGAAGAAAAATTGGGGAGAATTTACCGTAATTAAATTAATAATATAAAAATAAAATATAATATAATTAATACAATAAATATAAAATCAATAAAATATAATACCATCAATACAAAATATAATATAATTAACAAAATATACTAAAATCAAGTACACATTAAATTAACATATTAAAATTAAATTAAAGATATCCGATTAATTTTTTGCCGAACTTCGTCGACCACGGCGGGCGGTTCAGGGTGTCCCGAAAAATTACGTGACCGCGGCCCGGCCACTTTTACTTGGTACAGAACGCGGCTGATCGTGTTCGCTGGTCAATGGAAAACGGCCGCGCCGGTCGGATCCTGTCTGCAATTACAGTTTTAATTAGCCGCGTCCGACGTTGCCGGCGCGGTCTCGCATAAATTTAACGGCCGCTGGGGAGCAGGCTCCGTGGAAACGAGGTGAGATCCTGCGTACCTCGTTTCCCCCGGTCCCTCGGTCATCTTTTTCCATCGGTTGCCACCTTTTGCAAAGCTTTTTCTCGCCGCCGCGAACATTTTTCAACGGCGGCGCGCTGCCGCGTCGGCCGCCGCTGCGGCGCGCAGTTCGGTCGAAACTTTCGACGAGCGTAATCCGTCGTAATCCTCGCTGATTGCTATAGTAATTCGTCGGCCGAGTCGCATCGGTACCGCACGGCGCGCACTGTAGTCCGGCAAGCTTCTGTGTCCGAAATTATTTTAGCGTCGTTGCGGGGGTTAAGGTCACAGGAAGGTCAGTGAATTCGCCTCGATCACAGCTGTCATGCTACGAAGTCGACGACATAAATTATCCAAGCATCTATATAGCAGTGATTAAATTGTTTATAGCTCGTTTCGCGGGCCGACAGCGCGTCGAATTGACGTCAGATTAACGTCGAATTGAAGAGATCGAGAGAAACGACTTTAATCGTTCGCTAGAGAAATCTTGTTTCTGAAATTTTGTGCGGTTGAATTTGTAGGAAAACGAACTATTGTTGGAAATACTTTGTTGCCGTGTCGTCGGAGATGTGTGAAAAGTCGTTACGGTGGTTTCTAGTTAATCGTTTTAATCGTTTTCGGTCTGCTTTTAATCGTTCTCAGTCTGCTCGTTAAGATCCACGCATAATACGTACACACTCGCAGGTAATTGCGCTTGAAATTTACGTGTACGTGTTAAATCGTAGTGCAGACATTCGTATAAATGAACGTTCGGTGTCCGTCATTCTCAATCAACTTTTTAGAAGCTTTCCCGAAGTTCGAATTAATGAGACATTAACGTTTTCTCTCCACGAGGTCGGAAATTCTTGTGAAACGCATGAATGACCGACACGTAGTTGTTGACATCTATACAAACTTTATAGTTTAGTATAGTATAGCATAGTATAGTATAATATACTATTATGTAGTATAGTATAGTATAGCATATTAATATAATATATTAGTATAATATATTATTATATATATGGTATATTGTAGTATAATATATTAGTATAATATATTGTATATTATATTAATACAATATATTGTATAATATATTACTATAATATATTGTATATTATAATATAATATCTTAGTATAATATATAGCATAATAAATTCTATATTATAGTATAGTATATTAATATAATATATTAGTACAATATATATATATATTTTTTTTTTGTATAGTATAGTATAATATATTAGTATAATATACAGTACAATATATTGTATATTATAGTATAGCATATTAGTAAAATATATTAGTATATATTATATTATATATATTATATATATATTATAGTATATTATAGTGTAATATATAGTATATATAGTACAGCATATTAACATAATGTATAGTATCATTGTAGTAATAATAATAATAATAATAATAATAATAATAATAATAATAATATATATATAGTATAGTATACTATATATACATCTATAAAAACTATAAAACAAATAAATCATTCTAGTTTCAG